GGGAAGGAAAAGGAAAGAAAAAAAATAACAACAAATCTCTGGTTAGTGTTCCTAGGATTTTACACTCTGCGAGTAGGCACATCACCAGCGGCTCTCCTAAGATTACCGTTCTCTGTAACAGGCAATCGGAGGAACCAACACTTCTCGCTACAGACTCCTTGGATTATGCACTTATTAAAAATTAATAAAACTGTTTATTTTGTATATACATATGTTCCAAAAATCTTTATACAGTTAAAATATCAAATTAGTGATCTGGTAACAATACTGTTCAAAATAATCTCTTTCATATGAACATTAAAATACAGGTTTTTTGTTTTGTTTTGTTTTGTTTAAAGCGTTTCCTTTTAGTGCTTCCAAAGCACAGCGTGTGCCAAGGCCACCTGAAGAATCTCCGTCCTCTTCACAGGATGAAAGAGAACTGAAGTCGGGGACCTGGGAAGCCCTCAGGTGCACTTTCATAATGTCTGTAGACAAAACAGAAGAGAGTCTGAGGTAGATTGTTTAGTGACCATCAGGTGGTAACAGTCACAGGGCTGTCTTTAGCTTTCATTAACACAGAATAGCAGTTTCTTTATTCTCATTCAATCTACACTGAAACTCAAGCTTAAAGGCATGGCTAGTAGTTCTTGGGAATAGGACCCTCGTCTCTGTGGTGGCAACATGCAATATTACCACGCGGGTGTTTTTGGGAGGGTTTTTTTTTTTTGTTTTTGGAACACACAGGATCTTTCCAAAGAGTGCAGACAGACAGTGTGTGCATTCGACTGTGCCCCGGGTTAATGCAACCTGCTGCCTATAGCACGTAAGTGTCTATCATGACAATGTTCAAATGAGTAAATTCTCATCACCTGCAGGAGGGGCAGCAATGGTTATTTTCTTCAGGCTGTTGAGCGAATAGCACCCTCCACAGGGAAAAAGCCACACCTTTCATAGCAAACCCTTAGGGTTACAGCTCAGCTTCTGCCGATAGAGGTTCTTAAAGTTAAAGCTCCACTGCTTCTTCTCAGTCTGACAGAGAAATCGCTTGACTGCCAGGATGGTGAGGGCAGCAGCCACGTCCTCTTCCACTCTTCTGCGGCACAGCAGACTCCTCCCTGGTCCGTCCTGTCTTGCTGGGACACTATTATCTACTGCTGACATGATTAACTCTGTTGGGCAGGCTGTTGAACTCTATTTCCTCTAGTATTGTCTCTAAGTGTTGTATTAAGACCCGTTTTTTAAACCTGAGAAAGAGAGGGGGAGTAATTTAATGTTGGTTCTGCTCTTCCAATACGACAGCGACTTTCATATCAGCCATTCAACATACAATTCACATCTCCAGAGCACTCTGTGTCTTCCACAAGACAGATCTACTTTGTGTTTCTGTTATTATGACTAAAAATGAGAGAGAGATAGATCTCAATTAAAACTCTGGGTCTCTCTTCATTGCAGACCCATCTCTATTTTAGGTCTACAATACTGCAGACCTATGTATGGTAAGCGAAGAGGATTCACTACGACATCTTATGAAATCACTTGCTTGCTAAAAACAAGCAATCACAATCGATCTTTTTTCTAGTGTAGGAAAAAAAAACCCCACATAAGATACTTTTCTTGGAAAATACTGAATTTTACTGTCATGATCAAAATTATCAGTAAAAACATGTAATCTGGGTTTCATATTCATTTGTTTTCTATATACAAACCTTGCTGCTTCCTTGATAGCAAATTCAATGAAATATTTCTGAATTTCTATAGGTCCTTGAATTTCCTCAAGAAGTGTGAAGATTTTTTCATAATCTAAGAAAAAATATCCAAAACAACTGTGTTAGTTGAGCATATACACAAAAGAAAAAGGTCATCTTTACTGAAACCGTATTTGACAGATTAACGGACGGGAGAAGCGAAGCAGCAGATGGAGTGCAAAATTGTTTTTCCTATTAAATAAAAGACACCATTAAATGAAGATGACATTATTTGTATACCTCAAGTGTTTTAGAATGAGAATTAAATGCTACCAACACTGGTATCTGGAAGGCCAAAATCTACTTTTGTAGCACAGCTACAGTCCATCACTGGAATAAGCAGGATTCTTCATTCAAGTGACCTGTTGCTAGTTTTTCTGCCAAAGCAGCACAACACAGACGGCGTATTGCACACCAAACCACCAGTGGCTCTCAATGCTGATTTAACAGGGCCCCTGCTGCAAGATGTTAGGATTAGTATTCCTGTGCAGGAGACTAAGGCCCCTGGCACATGTACATTTAAAGGTGCCATGGATGCCAGCTCCGATCCCAATCAAGTCCTTTTTACTGATCGGTGCACGGGAAGCCTAGGATCACGATCCCAAGTTCCCCTTCCACCAGCAAGCTGGGTGCTTGCAACCTGGCATATCCCGATGCGGTCCTGGGGCAGACAGCATGCTGTCAGCCCTGGCCCTAGCACCAAACCAGGGCAGGTTCAAGACCATGATGCACTCTGGAGCTGTCCCAGGGCTCGTGCCAACAATAAGCCGACTGGTCAGCACCAATCCCGGAGCAGCCCTGGACAACACCATGCAGTCAAGTTTAGGGCACCATAACAAATCAGCCATAAAAAAAAAAAAGTGTTCTACGTTACACGTAGAATATTTTCATGGCTGGTTTGCCATTTTATGGTACCTTAAATTGGGTGCATGTGTAGCATCCTTGCCATTTATGCCACAGTTAATGTTATTTGTGACATAAATGTGATGTGTAGAGGGGATCTAAGATTTCTTCAGCAGCTGGCTTTCAGTTTAAGCAGTGTGTACTGTGAAACAAATACATATTTTAGCCCTTGAACAAAAAACAGATTAGAGTTGGATTGGTTTAGAACAGAAGTGAAATAGTGTTCTGGTTTCAGCTTCATCCCTGTATGAGCACATTATAAAAGCTCCGTATTTCAACATGACTCAGACGCATGACTAAAACAACAATGGAACTAAAAGTTGGGACAGGGTATGCTGGCAGAGCATAGAGGTTTTGTCCTGAACCATTACTTTCTTCAGGAACTCTGAAGCAAGCTACAGTGACATATATGGAATGAATTATTTTGTAAGTCATAGATTTTAAGACAGATTTACTGCAAAATGGTAAGGCTGGCTTCCTCAACAAACAGGAAGCAGAGAAAGATCTGACTAAACAACTGAGGTTTAAGTTACAGCAGGTGTCAAAGATGACCTGAGACTGCATTTAGAAACAGAAAAACAAGAGCACAGGATCTTACTTCTTTAGCAGCATGTGTTACAAGTCAGCCTCCACCAAGTTTGCTGACTGGTCCTTTTGACTAGGAGACTCGCTATAAAAGTACTTAAGTTGGGGAAACTTGCATGTGAACTACCTAAACAGGTAAGGAGGCTGCAGTAAAGTACTTGGTTATTTTAAGTACTGTATTTATAACAATTCACAGCATTAGTAAAATACCAAGGCGTAATTTGCAATGGCAATTCATTCTTAGTCACTGAAGTAGATGCAGTGAACTGCTATTAGACTGCTGACACACGGGAAAAACATGACCGTGTGTAAATAGTCAAGTATGCAGAGGTATATTTGAAAATAACTAAGTGGGTTTTTACCTGCCAAGGCCCAAGGTCTGTTTCTGGCCTCTAAGGATTATCATAATCAAATACCAAGAGCAGAGGAGAAGATTTTCTGTGCATCTGGTCTTACAGATACTATCAAAATCTTGTCCACAAACCCTGAACTTGGGGTTCTGTTCTTGGTAGATTTGCAAGACCCCAAGACAGCTTATTTTTAAAGTCTACCCATGTATGATCTCAATGTCTTCCTATATTTAACAAAAATAATTTTACTTGGTATTAGACTGAGGTTTTAGTGACAATGTTCTAGAACACATCATAGTAGTTATATATGTGCTTTCCCCCTCAGAAAAAGGTTTAGAAGGAACTACCGCAGTGCTGTGCAATATAATGAAAATACCAAGTTTCATAACTTCAAAGATCTCAGCAAACCGGTTTTCTTGACAAAGAAAGTGTCAAGGAATGATTATGATCAAGAATTAGTGGGGTTAGATAACGTGGCACAGTTTAAAGGCGTGTACATGCACGAGTTACACTACATCTGGTGCTTACAAAGATCAACAGAGAAGGGGAAAAGCTGCTTCTCAAATCTGAACCCTTCACTCATTTTCTCCAAACATCATTCTTTATTGGAACAATCCGAAGTTATTCCAAAGCTATAGGTAGAAGGATAGAAGACGTTTGAGACGCAGTAGAAAGGAAATCTGGGTGCATACTGAAGATGATCATGTGTTACTTACTTCTTCCAGGCTTGCGAACCTCCTTCATGACTTTTATTTTGATATCGGCATTGTTTCCCTCGAGCATGCTCGGTGTGATTTTCACGAAGTTTGGTACAGGTCCAGAAGTGGATTCCTCCATCAGCTTTTGGTCATCTGCAGGCAGACTGTAATTTATAGGTCCTCTCACAAGTGCATTGGTAACAGGTTTATGATCCAACCCATCTTCACTTAAACAATTAAATTCACCATGTAGCGAGTCCAAGTCATTTGGTAGCAGATTGTCATCTACCGTAGCAGCGGGAACAGAGGGAATCATTTGTGCAGACAAGCCATCAATTTGTTTGTCCAGTGCCTGACAGTTTTCTGCTTTCTTCTCCCCATTACTATCCTGAATGGCATTGCTATTGGCATCTGTAAGTTAAAATTAAGCTGGATTTAGTCTGTAACAGGTAGCACTAAGATGTTATTCTCTCTCAGATCCTCAAGCAAGAGATGGAAAGGACCTCTAAGTGCTGGCAAAAATCTGAACAAAACCAGAAAATCCCTTTAGTTTCTTGTGTTTCATTTCTATTTTCATTTCTTCCCTGCTTGGGCATATTCTCTCTTCAAATCCCTGACTTCCACTGCTTCCTCTTAAACTAATATTGAGCCAAGCTGGGCATACATACTTTTAAATCTTTCCTTACATCAGTGCCAAAAGTACAAGCTTCCTCTTAAAGAGCTAAAGGATATGCAGGCCATAGCACTGCTGTGCACCTGGGGATTGTTATCAAGTTTGTAACTGGACTTTGCATCATGTTTAAAATCTTCCTTTCCTCCAAAGGCAGGATTATGAAGAAAAAAATTAGTAGCCATCTGCTGGACAAAGACTAGAACAGACCTATTAAACTATACTTGGAATTCCAATAAATTCAAGGCTTTTAATACCTCATGACTGTTGTGATTTAGTCTGACCTCCTGCATGAAAAATCCTGGTAGCAAGCTTAGATCTTTATGCTACTCCAAAACATGCTTTTTAGGAGAAAAGTGCTGTCCTGTGTCTCAACTTCCTGGCCAGGGTGTTGACTCATAAAAATGCTAGTTATTTTTAGTGAAAAATTAAAGATGCACACACACACTCCCCACCCCATCTCCAGAAACCCCTCACTCCAGCATTCATTTAGTTTTCATGAGTTCAAAAGAAAAACATTATGTTTTTTCAATTTAGCAAGAAGCTTTCAGTTTGCTTTTCAGGAAGAAAATTGTGGCTACAACAGAATTCCTTAAAATAAAGAAGAGGTCACCAGCTCTAATGATAGCCCACTTGTTCCGACTCAAAAAGGTCACACTAAATCTTCCAAGGAACTTTGGCTAAGACGCACACAGGATGTCAGCTTCACCTCTCTCTCCCTTTACACATTCAAATTAATTCCAGGCAGGCACTGGTTTCCTGTACTGGCAATTTCGTCTAAAACCCAGGCAGGTCTTTGAAATGCAGTTCAACGTACCTTTATGTGCTGGGGTGGCTTTGAGGTTTGGATAAGACGGGGATCCCGAGGCAGATGGTGGGCCCTTCCCACCAACATGATTAGCTGTAGCAGGAGGCGACTGTGGTCTCCTCAGAAGAGGTGACATGCTGCGCCTTCTCTTCAGTGATGCTGGAGTGTTTAGTTCTCCAGGACGCTTAATTTTGTTTTGAGGCCCAGTGACGAATTCATCTGCTTCATCAATCATCATACCCTGCAAAAACAGAGGCCAGAAATTTCATTTGCAACAGAATTCTCCCAGCTACAACTACCCTCTCCACGATGCAGCTCAGCTGGCTTTGCTCCCTGTTAACTGTCAAAATCCACAATGTGCACACATCTAAAGTAGGCTGCGCCCCAAATGCAAACCAGTTTTGTATGGAAAGGCTGGAATGTTAAAAGCCTCATGATCCTTTGCATTCAATTCTCTCAGAGCAGGTATTTTAGAGAGAAATGTGCAAGAGGTGATGTTAGTCTGAAGTGAGGCAGGAGGTAGGACAGGGGACAGGTTTGGAAACTAGCTGCTTCACAGAGGCACAAGGTTGGTTTCAAAGTAGGTTGTTGCCTAGCAAAAGTGTTACCACGCGCTTCCTTTTCCTAGAGTAGAAAAGGTGAATACCACTTCCACCGCTTTACATAAGGACCGAACTGGTCAAGACTAAAAGTTGGATAAGAAATTCCACTCGCTGCTTAACTGTCAACAAGTGTTATGAAGCCAGCCACGTCACGGCTCTAAAAATCAAATCTAGGGCAGAGAAAGCAGCCTTTCCTACCTTCTTATCCTGTTTGAAAGGATTGCCAAATGTATGAAGCCTTTTTGGCTGGTCTGGATCAATCTCCCGGAGGGGAGATGGCATCATCTTTAGGTACTCCTGGTAATTTCCCATTTGAGCAACAGGAACACTGTGAAGACAGTCTGCAGTGGAAGAGAACATCATTCTCCAGTCAACCAATGTCAAGCACATGCATGTTCGTTCCCTAGTATTACCCCTTAAGAATCAGACGTCACCACCTCCTTACAGCATAGGATAATGCTAAAGAATACAACCCTCAGTGAACACTGTTAAGATGTTACATTAATAACTTGAAAGGCATGCTAATACGTTTTCATCCTCCGCAGGTCTCGGGTGTATGCTGCTTTCAGCAGACAGCCCTTTCCCTGTTCCTCCCTAGCCTGACCCTCTGTTATGATAAAAACATTCCCCCCCGCCATCCTCATCCACCACAGGCGATTGTACAGAAGGGTTCAGATCAAGCAGAAGATGCACACCCCCTTTAATTCACGCCCAGGCAAAGAAATACTAGGCAGCATTACACTAATTGAACAAATGGGAGGGCTGCTTTCATAGTCGGATATGAAGCACAAAGGATATGTCCCCTCAGCACCACCACCATTAAGTTAGGCACGGTAAGAGAATGATGGCTATTCACCTTCATCCTGCCCAAGGATAAGCTTGTGTGTTTTCAGCAGGTTGGTTCTCATCCTAGTCAGCTGGTCCAGGAGACTGTGGCGGGGAATATCATAAGCATTTCTGAAAGCCTGGGGCTTCAAATCCTGGTTTTAAACAACACGCACAATTTATAATTAAACCAACAATCTCCTCCCCCCTCCCTCCCCCACCAGAGATTACATGATAACGGAGGATTAACTGTCTACTGCTCCTTTGGACCAGAGCTCTCCATCACTGAAGATACTATACTTTCTAGGGTGCTGTGCTTGTGTCTAGCCACCTGTGCAAGACACTGTGTAACACTACCCTCTGCTCCACTAACCTGACATGCAAATTCTGGGACTGTCACTTTAGCACAGATTATCTTTAACTTTCTGCAGGACCTGGGCCCATAAAGCATCTACCTGCAGTTATATCTATTCTGTGCACTTAACTGAAAAATGAGCAACTACCGTATGTACTCAAATCTAAGACAATTCCCCCCCCATGGGGGGAGTAAAGCCTCTCATCTTAGATTTGTGTACAAAGCAAGGGGAGCAGGCAGCTGCTACAGCTGACTCTGGCCCCAAGCCTGGGTCAGAGCCAATCAGACCCACAGCAGCCACCTTGCACCCCCCGATCCTCCCCTCCCCTCTGTCAGGCACAGCTCAGCTCCAGTTCGGACTGGGTTCCCCTCCTGGGAATGCAGCACATGGGAACTCCTTCCCTTGCCCAGCTACTCAGCAGTACCGATACTGCTGCATGGTTGGGCAAGGGCTAAACTTTCAGGTGCTGTGCTCTGGGAAGGAACAGAGACCAGCAGCATCTGATTAAAAAAAA